CTTTTATTTGAAGATTTGCTCAATACTTGATAGGAGAGGTTTAATAAAAGTCGTTTCTTGAAATCTTATTGCAGTCTTATTGTATTTTTTATCTCAATAAGTGTTTTTAAAAGTAGGACTGAAAATGTTACTTCTGGACCAAGATATTTGGCACCTTAAAAACAGGGTTAAAACCTAAAAATTTTGCTGTTTTTCCGAAGGAAAAATCCTAAAATCACTAATTTTTATGCACCTCGATAGACCACCAAAAATGGTTACATATCACCCAAAATCAAGCATAATTACCCTAAAAACATCCAAAAACCTTACAAGAAGTAACATTTTAGATCAAACAAATGTAATCGGTTTTACCTCAGATTTCCCTCACCGAATAATTTATGTATTTTCCCATAGAATTTTAATCTCGTGTTGAATTGGTAAAAAAAGAGGAAGCTTTATTTAAAATGTAAATTACCCACGAACTTAATAATAATAATTGATATTAACATCGTGGTTTTAATTCACCGCCGACAAAAAGACGAATATAAATTATTAGAAATTTTAATTAAATTTCTGTCTTCCCACAATTTATTCTCTGTATAAGTCAGTCTGAAATCATGTTGATACAGTGTAGAGTTCTTTGAATCACCATATGTACGAATCGAATTGAATTTACACAAAACTTAAGTTTACCTTACGCCTGCATGTTTTTTTAATGCAAAGCGAATTTCGGTTTTGTTAACTTGCTGATGTGCTTTTTTACTGCAAAAGGTTCCAGTGGTGGGCGAATTATTGCGGGGGAAGCTCTGTATTTTTAATTTTTTTTATCATGTTATAGATAAATATTTTCATTTAACCGCAGCCCGGCTAATTTGAACATTTTCATATACGTGACGAGTTAACAAAATTTGTAAGCGAATAAATACGGAATGTTGGTGGTTGATTTTATTATCCGCAAATCAATTCGTGGCAGAAATCTGATTTTTATTTGCAATTATTTTTGGTTTTGCTAAATGAAATGAGAAATTTCCAATAGGAAAAGTTAAATTAGAATAAGGTAAATAAATAAACGTCGTCATAACCACTCAACTCGTTTGCTTTATTGAATTTATTTTGCGAAATAGTTGCAAAGCATTTTAATTTAAATTTTATTAAAGGTGTGTTTTGACGTGTAATACTCGTCATTTTGGGCTAGGTACCGGCCATTATTTAATAATTCAGACCAGCCACCCCACTTTATAGCTCAATTAATATCCGCATTTCGAGTTTTGTCGTAATTTTCATCACCGCTGAATGAATAGCGCCTACAGAGTCTGTTTACAGTAAAAATAGTAATATGCTGGTATACACTGCCGTCCCAGCATGGTAACTAACAAGCATAGTTTACAGCCGATGGATATCAAAGGATTCAGCCTGCATGGCTCTTCAAACGTGCCGTTTGTGATGATATTAGGACTGAACTAACTTTACATTGCCATTCAAGATTACGACTCTTATTACGGTGTGGGACGATGTTGACTTCCGTTGCAAATCGATCCAGGAAGAACTACTAAAGTTTAGATGGCAAAAATTTTAATGAAAAAAAAACTCACACGAGTTTTGGTGAAAGGTAAAACATTAATGCATTTGAAGCTGCTACGGGACTTGAGAAAGAACAAACGACTTGGGGCTATTTGCACTGGTTGTTACCGGGAATTACTGAGCGCTTTATTGTTTTCACTAAAGAAAGGTTAGGAAGAGTATCTATTTTGTGGTTTTTATAAGATCATAATTTTTGGACGTCCTTTACAATAGTACATAAGTGATAGAAATGCATCATTATACGCGAGTGAGAATTTTGAGTTTCATAATGGCATTTTGATCACGTGTGATATACGATGTTTTATCTTACAGGTGCAACTATCCAAAAAATGAAGTTTCATTCAAGTAAAATATTCACCTATAAAAATATAATAGTAAATATAATACTTAATATAATAGTTAATATAATACAATAGTCAAATTTACTCACTTGTGAATACTTTATCTCACTTCTGAATAATATTTGATTTCTATCACCGAAAACAATAGTCTAAGGTAGCTCAAAAACTCAACCTGTAAGATAAAAATATTTTTATTTAATAGGGATTTTGTAAAGTCATTTTGTTTTGCTAACCTTATATTTTCTATTCGTTTTAGCATTATGTATATGTACTGAATCGAAAAAAAGAAATTTTTTCTATTTCGGTGTTAGAATAAGTCTATTCCTGCACCCAAATGACGTCATTTGTGTGTTGGCATAAGTCGTTGGCGTTAATTTAATTTTCAAATGTGAAAATAAGAATCATTTTTATTTTTTACAGCCGCCTAAAATTATTCCACATAAATGTGGCCAACCGTCGCAAAATTCTCAAAAAAAAATTAAAATTTTCGTTTTTTAATTTATAAAATGATAGAAAGCGGCAAAATAGAAAAAAATAGTATAAAGCACTTGTTGCAGAAGGTTCTTCAAGCACTCATTTGTTCCTCAACTTGCTGATACGCGGCTCGTTTCGGAACTTCAAATTTGTGCTTGAATAGATACTTTCTGCAACTTGTACTTTAATATACTATTCTAATCCTATTTTCTGTGTATTTTTCGACTGGTTATACGGATTGAAAAATTTTGTTGTAAATACAGGGTGGGTCAGAACTGGAAAATTCTATCTGTCAAAAAATTTTGACATTTATTTTATAACATTTGACATTTTTTATGTATATGTTTTTTTATAATTATTTAGTAAAGGTACAAGAATTTTGCCAATAAAAGCCACAAATAACATTAAACAGAGTTACAATTTTCCAGCTTCCTTGTTTCCTCTTCTAATAGTCTGTAGCAAAAAAACTGGAAAAATTATTTTTCCAACAGAAATAAATAGAGTCAAAGTGCAAAATTTAAACTCTTTTTCCCATGTTGTGCGCTAATTCTGACGCACCCTGTATAAATGATTAATTTTCGTTTGATGGTATTTACGTAAAGACTAAAGGAAATGTAGCATTATTTGAATGCCGGTCTTCTTGATGGTTTTAGTAGGGAGTCTCCAAAGCAATCCGTTGAATTTCCCTTAAGACAAGACGTAATTGCTGACGTCACGGTATTTTCTATCCGTCTAAAGCCGCTCACAATCACGACTCCAATTAAATTACCACCGGATCTAGATATTTGCAAATTTAAAATTCAGCGAAAATGCAGGATTTGAAAATCAATCATATCGGGGGTGCAAAAAACATATTTGAATCGAAAAGGAGGATATAAAACATGTAACGTTGAGGCGTTTGTTTATGCAGAATGATTCTTTGCAGTCGGCTTTTTACAAAAATACAAATATGTTTTCCGATAAGACATAATCTCACATTTAAGTGTCTCATCGATTACGTTTCGATGACGAAAAATATATAAGTTAAGGGACAAAAACCATTCGAGAGTAAAATATAAGTTATGGAATACTCCCCGGAATTGTAACCTTATTTCAGGAACGAATAGCTTTCTTTACTCGAGTCAAGTGATCTAAACTAATATTTACTTAGTCGGTTAGAGAAAGTTAGATATTATTTAATAGTTTTAGCCAAAATTATTTCAGTAAACAGTTTATGAAACTAATTTTAGATTTCACGCCAAGTTTTATTTCCTATAGCTGTGCGAGGCATAGTAGATATAGCGAATCCGCTTCAAGCTACGAAACCTAATAAAGCCCACTCAAACTCCATTTCTTACGGCCGCTTCTTCATGATGGAGTCAAATCAAAGAAAATTTACCACAAAAGGTATTAATATGCAAATTAAAAGTTTCAGCCCGTTCTCTTTCTTTGTTTCCGATTGTGGAAACAGTCTATCACAATGTTTGCACCAAAAACGCCGAGATGAATTTTGCTTTGTTTGATCAAAAATGGTGGATGCGCCGAGTTGACGAAATAAATATTTCTTAAACAATGACAATATTTAGATTTATTTCCTCTTGGGAAAATGGTGGATGCGCCGGGTCGGCGGTGAATAGTTTCGGACATTTTCATCGCGAATCGCGTTTCAAAAGATTATGTTGGAATGTACATATAACGATATTATGACGCCGTTTCGATCCCTTGCCGAATTTATGGCTGGTTTCGCAGATATAATGGCTCAGTGAAGCCATTTTAATCTTTTAGTTGCGCACAATGGGACATGTGTCGTCGATATCAATAGAATCGTTCAATGATAACGTTCCATTTGAAACCGAGACTTTAATTTTTACCTAGACATTAAATTATTAAAGCCCTTTTTAAATCTGAAGAAATCGTACGCAGGTGAGGTTTTTAATTTAGCGGGATTAGGTGATTTAAGAGCAATGGGGTTTTTGAAAGACAGCGATTTTTTTCAGTTTTCAGTCCTCTTTGTACAGAATCGATAGAGGTTTTTTGTGTACTGTATTATTAATAGACGACATGAAATTCTAGCCGAACAGTAAAATAATTGACAAGTTTACAATACAGGGGAGCTTCCGCTTTGTGTTTCTCCGACGAAGGAGTTTAATTACACTTTGATCCTACATAACGGCTGATGTGTAATCATGAATATTAAACTTGTTTTGTTTTTGTTATTGTACTTGAATCAAATGGTCAATACCAAGTATGAAGAGTTTTATTTTACCAATTGATGGATGCTGAATAGGTGACTAATTAACTGTTATTATGAAACCGCCGGTGCAAGGAAATTGAGGCTTTCAATTTATAATACAATTATCAATTAACGATAATGAGGCATTGTTTGTTATAATTTAAGAGGAAGTCGTATTAGTCCGTTGTTGCATTCAATTTTCTATACAAAGTCTTAGATATCAATGGCAGTATTACTCAATTTTCCTTTTTGTTGTGAGAATGCAGATATTGTGTTACTCATGATTGAAACATTACCATAAATCTCTTGAGGATCCACTCTGAGGGAATTACGTAGTGTAGGTAGGAATTTGCATCAAATTTACCAAAACACTTATTTAAAATAAAAAGATAAATATTCCGGTGAAGTCTTACCGATAGAGCATCCGTTCTTGTCTATCTGCTTCTACATAAATTCTGTAATACATGAATATCATGACCATGCCGGGCACCCAGAAGCTGACGCTCGAAGAAATAACTGAGTAGGTCCTGTTGACTGTGAAGGTGCATATGTAAGGATGCTTCCTCCTGAATTCTAGATGTTCTTCGGTCGTGTACCACTCCATAAATATGGGCAAGAAGGACACTAAAGCCGGACTGCACCACACGACGGCTAGCATGACCGCAAGTCTTGCATTCGTCATGATCAAGGGATAGTCGAGTGGTTGCACGATGGCGTAATATCTGTCCACACTGATACAACACAAATGTAAAATAGACGCCGTCGAAAAATACACGTCCAAAGAATTCCACACGTCACACATAAAATAACCAAATATCCATCTACCTCCTGTTATCTCGACACTGAAATTAAAACACATCGCCCAAATAGCGACCAGCATATCGGCCAGAGCTAAGCTCACGACGAAATAGTTGGTGATAACGCGCAGCTTCCGATGACGCATCACTGAAACTATCACTAAGAGGTTGCCGAATAAAGCGGCAATTATTATTAGGGCCATCACGGTGGTCTTGACTGTCAGCAGGAAGCAAAGAAGCCAAGAATTTTTCGCCCATGTCGGCTGGAAAGCGTACGCGTAGTTGTTGGATATGTGGATTGCCTCAGACGTATCGTTGGAATTATCAGTGGAGTTCTTAAAAGAGGCTTGAGTCACCAAGTCCGTTATGACGAGGATCTCGTTCATGGTGAAGTTTAAGTCAGGAGTTGGCGTGGTTTTGACATCTGAAAAAATTCGAGCTAAATAATAAATTTTCATAGATATCTGAAACGGTGCCTTATCGATTCAAACTCGATGATAAATAATCAAGTGGTGTCAAAAGACGCTAATTGGGGGACTTACTTTGTAAAAAAAATGTTATTGCGTGTGAAAGATTTTTCTAAAATGTTGGCACGTTTTGCTTTTGGTTTTACGGACGATGGTAGTTTTTAGTCGGCAACGCGCGGCAAACTGTGCAGTTTAGGGTAACTCCGGAGCTTTTCGCGGCTTTGCGGCGAAGCAAGCGACCTCTTATGGAAAACGCGAATTTCCCACTACCCACCTGAGCATCGTTCGGCTATTACCTGTTACATTTGGGTTTTTTTTGAGAGATATTTTTATCCGGACACCGAAAAGTGCTTATGAAGTGTTATATTTCATGTATCATGAATGAGAAAGAAAATAAAAGTTTTTAAAAGCTAGTATACACAATTTTATTGAAACAATGCTGCAATTTTATTATTATCATCACAGATTGATGGCTCCTACGGTTAATGAGACTTGTCAGTCATTAATACAAAATCTGTTTTGAATGACATTAAAAATATACCTAGATTTTTTTTATGAAAAATTACATTACTTTAACAGCAATAAAAATTAAATTAATAAACTTGAGCTTATAAAAAGAGCAAATTTTATCATACGAAGTGTCATCTAGTGGAAGTTTTCCTCATAAAGGGAAACTCTCACAGAACACTTTTCCTTATGAAGTCAAACACGTGCTGCCTCTAGCGAACAGTATTGAACGACATTTATAACCCTAGCAGTGAAGAATTCTAATTTTGCAACATTTTCTACGGAATATTTCAGTTTGCTTTATTGCTTCGATAAAATTTAATGATTTTATAAACTTGTGTAATTAAATTTTATCTGTAAATATTCATTCGTTATGAAAGTAAACATGATTCAAAGCTTTTAAATGGTTTTCATTAATTATTTTGAAATCGTTTAATCTAAAAGGTATGCTAACTTGTATATAAACAAATAAATGATTTCATCGCTGGTGAAGGATAAAGGAAAAGCAAACAAGCCATAAAACGGCGGATTCAACAAACAATATATTTGCGGTATATTTCTTTTATACATGACATGTAACACGAATGATTAGTTGATGACATTCGACATAAAACTTGTTACAAAATAGGCCTACAAGATTGTCTTTGCCTTTGTATACAATATACGTCTAGACGACAACAAACTAATAAAAATATAAACATACAAAATTATTTTTTTTTGTAAAAATTGCATTTTAATCGGTTCGTCAACGAAACATTTCAACAAGCAACAAACAATAGTTGAACTATTTGGAGCTTTACCGAAAGCTACTATTGGGATGATTTGAAATGCAAAACCGTCTCTTGAGAAATTTTGTTTGTGTATCAATTTAGACCGTCGAAAATTACACGTATGGAAAGAGATAATTTAATTTTTGACGAAGAGACGATGCGGTTTCAATTCCCAACAGTACTCTTTATTTGGGGGCGCATTTCGCTCGGAACTAAATGAGAAATGTTTAAACCATCAGTTTTTGAGCGAAAACAAATTAAGAAAGGGAAGACCGGGAACAAAATACGTATAAATGTGGAACAAAAAACATACATTTATCGTACAATCTTCCTAAATAGGCGTTTTATGTACAAAATTAAAATCACATCTTTATTATCACACATTCGTATAACAAACTATTTACAAACCAATCAAATCAAACTTTCTTTAATTAATATCACAGAAACTAGTGATTTTATCGGTTGGAAACTCTTTACGTATTTATGTCCTTGAGAATGTGACGAAAGCCAAGAAGTCTTTTTTTTATTGCTTTTGTGTACGACATGACGTCTTTTAATTTTCGTTAAGCGCTTCTATTGCCTGCGTTTTTTGAACAGTTTAAATCGTTGCATGTATAACATACGCAGAACGTCAGTTCTGTCGTCGACCCTGTCTGGAAATTAGCTGAAAATTAGATTTTTTCAATACTCGAATTGGCGACCGAAAATTCATTAAAAGCGGCGTTAAAACTTAACAGCGGCAATGCAAGATTTCTATGAGATGTTGTTTTGTCCGGCTCGTTAGAGTTTCTCGTCTTGGTAAGCCGGCGACGTATCCTGTGGCTAAAGAAACCTTGCAGGATTCTTCCAACACGTGAAGCAGCATGGCATGGCGCAAAGCAGGGTGTCTTTGAAAGCTTCCCGGAAGTCTCTGTTAAAGTAGGCGTAAATCACCGGATTCAGGGCTGAATTGAAGTAGCCAACCCAGAACAACATGCCGATTAGCCAGTCGGGTGTCGGACACAAGTCGTCACCACAAAGCGTCGTTATCACATACCTGTTGAACAAAAAAAAAAACGTTTGATTGAAAACATCCACTGTAATCGGTAGTTTTCCGCCAAGTAAATTAACCACCTAGTCTATTAACACACGAACGGCTCAAGATTAACTGGCGCACTTGTGAAAGGTACATTAGACAAATTGGCTATTCCGTCGAATGCAAAATTAAACAGCACTCTAGAGAAGCTAAGATACAAGAATCTCGTATTTTGAATAAAGACATTGATCAACACCCACGAACGAGCGAGCATAAATTTTACAGTAGTGATTACGAGTGTAACGGTGTTCTGAAGGGCTGTAACCGCCTCTGTTTGACTGCTAATCCAACATATGCAAATTTATACAATTATTATGCGCTGTAGCTTTTCAATCAGATACAGATTTTTCGTTGTATGAGAAAATAAAATTGACAAGAGTATCAGAAAGGGTATTTCTAGTAAGCTTTATAAAGCTTTCTGTTCCGCTGCGAAAACCACTTAGGATTCCTACCTTTTCAACTTTGACCCGCAAAATTCCTACCGGCTTTTCTCCACTATAAACTTTTCGCCCAAGTAATTAACCACGTTCTCAGAAAAATTATAAATTCATAAGTGTTTTTGGAGTGTTTTGATTTCGTAGTCAGAGTGGTGTTGAGGAGGCACAATACCACTTTTACTATGCAGTAACACACTCAATAATAAAAGCTGAGACAGCAATAAAAATATTTTGCGTGCGTGGGTAGACGTTATTGAAAATGTTTCGTTAAACAAATTTGCTTTTGCGTTAGAAACCATCTAACATGAACTTGTAACTAGAACTAAATGTTTTTTGCAAAGATACATATAATTACGGCAAACTAACACCCAGCATGTTATTAAAACTAGAAACTAGTTTTGTTTACCGCAACTCCAACTGTGGCCATATTTAATGTAAGTGACCCATTAGCAGAGGTTCTGTACATGGCAGAGAGAATATTCATTGAATCGGTAGTTTTCCCAAAAGGAGATTGCATTGCGTGCTTACGAGTGCATACGGGCATAAATTCGTGTAGACACTCGAAGCACAGTTTCTATACAAGTTGAACATGGAAACGTTGAAAATTCGCATTGAATAGGGTGTTATTCTTGGGAAATACGTATTTTTATGAATGATTATTTCGAAAATTATTTTCGATATAAGATGGTTTTAAAAAGATAAAAGTTTAACAACGAGAAGCTAACTTTACTAATCCACCATCTAACAAATCGTGAGCTCCTCGGGGGATTCCTGAGGCGTGCAAATTTGATTTACGTCCATTTTGCCATTGTCTTTGTGGTTGCGAAAGTGTGTGAAGCACAAAGACGTTGGATCGACTTTCGTCTAATCATCAAGAGTTTCTTCTACTCTTCTCAAACAAAACAAAAAAGACCGAAGTGCCTTTTGCTATTGGTCTGATATATCATCATAAACTTGTTAATCTAAAGTTTACAAAGTTCTCCCGACATTTACAAGTATCGCGTTAAACAATGTAGGTGCATGCTGATAACGATAACCCACCGGCGCTTTTGTGATATAATCGTATCGGTTTTATGAGAATATTAATTGCAAAGGTGATTAAATCCTTTCAGAATTCACTGTTAATCCTTTTCAGGATGTAATGGGTTAGTGCAGCTTAAAACAACATCCGTTTTTATTTGTTTACCAGGGCTTACATGATTAAAAGTCGGCAAAAGCAAATATGACGTGAATCGGAGAAGGAAATAGTTATACCTATTGTTTCTGTGTAATTAATATACCTATGTATTATTAATCATCAACTATTTAACGTCAGAGCAACAGGGCAAATAATTGATTGATACATCTGAAAATGTGTTAAGAGAAATGTTAATAGATGACCTTATGTGATCAAAGCTTGGCAATTAACTGTTGACTGTCGAGATTTATTTAAGAATATGCTTCAAGTTAATACGCTTTTACGTCCCTTGGGGTTATTGAAGCTCTATTTGAGTCGCTTCTGGGAGAAGAAAAAAGTGCGAGCTTATATCTTTTAAGCTCGAGGGTGTAACAGAACAAAATTTGAAAAAAGCTTTTTTGTGCGTGTGTGCGGTTTTTACAACGCGTCCTCTCAGTGTCAGATTTATGTACTTACCATAAGAAAAAAGGAAGCCAACATAACATGAAAGCACCCATTATTATGCCCAAGGTGCGGGCGGCCTTGTGCTCAGCTCTCCAGCTTTTGGACTGTTGGCGAATGGAGGTTCCTGGAAAAGAATAAACGGTCAATCGTATGGGGAAATTAATTTGGAGCCAGGTACTAGCTGAGTGAGCATGATTAAGGGGAATTGCAGCGTCGCGTCGGGTGGGTTGTTGCAAGTTATCGGTCCGTGTTCTAGGTAGATCACAATATAATTAAAGGGGTTAATTCACACGCGTAAGCTAGTTAAGGTCGACGTTTCGTGACGGATTTAACACTTGCTTTTGACGAGCACAAGGGTCTGAAGGACCCCGTAAGTTGTTAACGTTTGAGATGGCAAAAATTAGACAGGTTTCGAGAGGAGTTGGACGTGAGTTGTTATTTGGGAAGGGAGAGATCGATATGCGGGACTAATATGTTAATAATTTAATTATACCCAGCATAGGTTCTTATTGATTAAATCAAGGCTAATTTAGGCATGTTGCGTTTTATCTCAACATCTTGGCGTTAGGCGATCAATTGACATCGGAGCGGATAATGTACAAGGATGGTCACTGATAACCCGATAAATCATTCTTAATTAATTTATATCAAGGGTGACAAACATTAATTCAAACCTAAAAGGACGCTACGGCAATATTTACCCAGAAGTACTTACATGCTGGTTAAGAACGGTGTCTAATGCTGTTTTGGTGAAACCGCACACAAAAGGAGGAATTATTATTAAATTAAAAGAACAAGAGAACTTGTTACGTTTCGTCAGAATTTTCGCTAATCATAATCAGTGGTGGGAAATGATCTATAAATGAAAACGGAAGATTTCGGTAATGTAATACACTTCGAACTCAATTTATGTATAGTGCAATAAAATTAGAAAATGTACAGAGAGACGTGAAAGAAAAATTGAATATTCTCTATTTTTGAATTTCACGGAGACGCTTTCAGAATAGGTGACAGACTGTCACAAGAAGAAATGGTTTTATAAACGCGGTCGGGTTACTTCCTGGGCGTACATCTCTGAATTTTCTTATTTATACAGATGATGGAAGAGTGCGTTATTCGGATTGATGGATAGTGGAGGGTGAAAAATGAAACATGATTTATGAGAGAGTTATTATTCAAAAGACAAATAGGCACCCTCGTCCGATGATACAATGGCCTTAAATTTTGACCGAGCTGTTATTTGAGCAAATAAGCCGAGCTTAAAAGCTCAAATCAAGTATCAAATAGCGTCAAAGGATGCCACTCAAAGGACGAGGCACAAGACTGCGATACTATGGTAACAGGAAGGTTAGCTTGCTGCGACACCTTTAATTAATTACGTTCACAGTCAGTGAAATTCTAATGAAGCAGGCAATTAATTTTAGTAATGCTAAATGCCAATAATAAGTTTGACACTAGTCGATTATTCGGTCATTGATTGCTGGCCCCGTTCTCTCAGAGATATATTTATTTCGAGCAAGCCGTCGGCGTTCGACTTTGCATTTACATTTCTAGATAGAAAGGTTTCCAGTTTTAATTATCGAATCACTTTCTAAATGATCCTGCAATGATTTGATACTTTGTACTTTGTATCAGTGCAACTTTGATAAAAAATTTATTCAAACAGGTGGAAACGGCGATTTTGTTTCATTTCGTTCTCTTTTGAGCTTTAATCTGACTAAAAGGCAGCAAGACGTTAGACGACATATAAAAGTGATGTATACTTTGTTTCTGCCTGATTTTTGTTTTAATATACAGGGCTGTGTCAGAACTCGCGCCTCAAATAAAGATTAAGATACCAGAAACATGAAAAAGAGAAATTTTTTAAATCCTATTTTCTGTGTATTTTCCGGCTGGTTATACGGATTGAAAAATTTTGTTGTGAATACAGGGTGTCAAAAAATTTTGACATTTATTTTTTGACATTTGAAATTTTTTATGTCTATTTAATGACAGTGATGAGTACAAGAATTTTGCCAATAAAAGCTACAAATAACATTAAACAGAGTTACAATTTAGGATACAGCTTCCTTGGTTCCTCTCCTAAAAGCCTGTAGTAAAAAAACCGGAAAAAATATTTTTTCAACAGAAATAAAGTGCAAAATTGAAACTCATATCCTTTTGTAGATTTTTTGTAGAATTTTTTTTAACATTTTAATCATGAACAAAAACACGATTAGCCCGTCACACCAAACTTTTATTTTAATAGCACAACGCGTTTCGACCACAAAGTGGTCATCCTCAGGTGAGAATAAAACTAACTAATTTAACAATGGTAATGCCTTATATACTAATTTTCCGACTTTCACTTTCCCTACCCTCAACTAACGAGTAGAGGGGAGAAAAGGGAATGGGGCCGTTGTCTGAATTCATGAGATTATCTCTATTTTTAAATATTTCAAGACTCTCG